CACGCAGCCCTTGCCCGTGACTTGCTTCAACCTGGCACTGCCCAGCCCGCTGGCTGTAGCCGCGGCCCCAGCGCTGGGTCCGGCAGGCCCCGCGCGGGCTTCTACCCCCGCCGCCACGGACTCCCCGGAGCAGCGCTTCACGGGACTGCACGCGTCCCTGTGTGACGCCATCTCGGGCTCTGTCGCCCACTCCCCACCGGAGAAGCTGCGGGAGTGGCTGGAGATGGCCGGACCTTGGGGGCGGGCGGCGTGGCAGGACTGCCAGGGTGTGCAGGGGCTGCTGGGCAAGCTGCTGTCCCAGCTGCAGAGCTTCGTGTGCACGCAGCAGTGCCCCTTCCCCCACGTGGTGCGGGCCGGCGCCATCTTTGTGCCCATCCACCTGGTGAAGGAGCGGCTCTTCCCGCGGCTGCCCCCGGGCTCCGTGGACCACGTGCTGCAGGAGCACCGCGTGGAGCTGCGGCCCACCACCCTGTCCGAGGAGCGGGCGCTGCGGGAGCGGGCCCTGCACGGCTGCACCTCCCGCATGCTGAAGCTGCTGGCGCTGCGCCAGCTGCCCGACATCTACCCTGACCTGCTGGGCCTGCAGTGGCGGGACTGTGTGCGCCGCCAGCTGGGTGAGCATGGGGCAGCCCCAGCGGCCACCGGAGCTGTGTGAGCGAGTGACAGGTTTGTGGGCCGTGTGAGTGGTCGCAGCCGGGACTGAGGACGCAGTGGGTCTCCGGGAGGGGCCGGGAGGCCCCGGGACTCCTGCCACGGTGGGAGGCTGGTCCCCTCGGTAGGCTCTCTGGGGCTCCCCTGCCCCCCGGATCCCGCTTCCCCCTCCAGCTTTCCTAAGAGGCTTCGTCACCTCCTCTAGAAGCCTCTGAACGTGCTGGCTGTTCTGCCCCCACGCAGACCCTCCTGGTCCAGAGCCTCCGGGTTTCTTTTTCTGCTTGTTCTGCCTTCTTCGTCTTGCGTTACAGGCCTTTCTTTCGGGGTTCTCAGGCCTAGTTTCCTATCTGGAGTCATTTCTCTGTGTGTTTCTGTCCTTCCAGCCTCCCCTCTTCGGAGCTCAGACTCCAGATAACTCACTCACTGCATGCCGAACCTTCAAACCTGAGCCCTAAGTTCTCCCAACGCCTGCTGCAGTTTTCCCCCAGCTTACCTCCACCCCTAGTTTATTCATCTCAGTGGCGGAGCACCCCTCCTCACCCCCTCCTTCCTGAAACCTGGCAGGGGGCTGCCTCCCCAAACGCCGTTGCCTTTTGAATGTGCAATTGTCAGTTCTCCTGGGTATTTCCCTTCCCAGACTGTACCCGAAGTGTTGTTTTGTGGTTTGCTTTTCCTCCACTAAATGATGTCTTGTGTATATTGCTCGCCCATGTCTCCTTTCGGTGGCCCCGAGAAGCAGCTGCCGTGGCCGAGGGCTCGACCTCGGTCTCGGGACGCTGCTGTGTCACGTGGTGGCAGCCTCACCTCTGCAGCCAGGACTGCCGTGGTGTCCGTGGCTGCTCTCCTGTGTCGGGACAGCTGGCCTTGAGGCCCAAGGCTGTTTCTCCTGCCCACTGCCTGTCATGGTCGTGTCCCTGCAGGGACTGCCCTTTGGCCCTCCGGCAGCCCTGCCCTGGGCCCCTACCTGGCCCAAGCTCCAGGTCGGGTGAAGGATAATGAATGTGCGCATGTGGAGCTTGGCATCTGGGTGAACTGTATGAGCTGTACGCTGACCCCTGGTGGGACACTGCCTTAACGGGGTGCAGAGTGCACCGAAAGGCAACTCCAGCAGTCTGTTCCTGAGCGAGAAAGGGTGTGAGTAGGTAGCATGCACCCCAGCCCTGCCCCGGAAAAGCTGGGCCCAGAGAGACGGGTGCATGTGTGCATGTGTGACCGGGCACTGCGTGGTCAGTCTCGAGTCCCGGGCCAGTCAAGCAGTTGATGGGAGTGCGGCCTCTCGCCTTTGGTCACCCCATCCCTACTCCAAGTTGTGTGTCCTCTTCCATCTTTGGGGACCACCCTTGTGGATCTCCAATAGCTCCCCGCCTGCAGCCTCCTTTCCAAGGTTTGCTCTGTGGTCAAGGCTGCGCTGCTGTCCCTTCTGCGCTTCCTCCCTTGGGGCCTTGTTTTCAGGGCAGCCTGCCTTCCCGCCCCGGCTCTGCTCTTGCTCCAGCCCTGGGGTGATGTGGCAGAAAGGTGATGGCTGTCCTCTGAGAAGGACCAGTGCTGGGCCTCAGTTTCCCCTCATGTTAGTGGGCCTGTCTGCCAAGCCAGTGGCTCTTGACCTGTTGGGCCCCTCTCTCGTCCTTGAGCCCGACAGCCTCTGGGCAGTGCTGTCATCAGCTCCCCATCATCACCTGGGGTGAAGGCACTTCTCCCCAGCTGGTCAGTGGGGAAGGACTGTGGTGGCCGACCCTGCCAGAGCCACCCTGGCTTAGGACAGAGTGGAACTCCTGGTCTGATGGCTTTGGAGGCCAGGGGATGGGCCTTGAAGGTGTTGGGGTCTGCAGCCTGAATGTGTGTTCATTTTCCAGGTGACTTTGACAGTGAGGCTGGATCTGTACCCCCCTCAGAACCCACTCTGACCAGAGGAGAGCCAGAGAGCCTAGCCCTGGCTTGGAAGTCACCCACCCCCAAGGTCAAGAAGCCCGGGAAGAAGCTACCCGTCCCTGGCTCGGAGAAAGCAGAGGCCGCAGGGCGAGGGTCCTGTGATACCTCGCCTCCCCCCTCTGCCAGGTCCAGCCCACCGGGCCCCACCCTGAGGGCCCGGTTCCGCAGCCTGCTGGAGACCGCCTGGCTCAATGGCTTGGCGCTACCCACTTGGGGCCACAAGGCCTCGGGATCAGACCGGCCGGCACCCCGCCCGCAGCTTCTGGGGGCCCAGAACCATCACCTGTAGCACTAGATGTCGGTGCTGTTTAGGCAGCTACTGTGGGAGTCACTCTTTGCACCCCTCCTCCGCCTTCCCAGCAGCCCGGAGCCATCCGTGGATGTGCCCTTGAAGTTTCCCTACCTCTCACCTCGCCCCTACCCAGGCTGAGCTGAGAGCCCCCGAGTTTGAGGGCCTTCACTAGAAGGGACCAGTTCTTGCTTCTTGGAAGACAACATGGGCTTTGGAGCCCTCCAGAGTTTGCTGGAATCCTGAGTCGTCCTTGCTGTGTAACTGGGGAAATCAGTTCCTCATAAGCCCTGTCTCCATTTGTAAAATAGGACAACACAGCCTACCTCACAGGGTTGTTGTGGGGTGATGCCTGACACATGCCCATTATGCCTTGTGCCCTCCCAGGGTAGGCTGGGTCCCATCCAGGGCCTAGAGATGGGGCTGAGGCCATCACAACCTTGTCTTAGGTACGTTTTCTGGAGTCACCCCTGGGGAAATCTGGGGCTTATCACCCTAGGATTTGGAATTAGACCCTCCCTCACACCCAGCCCAGAGCTGTGTGGGGAAAGCCTGGTCCTCCCCTTCCTGCTGCAAGGCGTGCAGGGATAGAGTCTGGGGCTGACATCCTTGTTCGGGGCTTGCTGCTCTCACCCCAGGGAGACCCCATCCCTCTCCTGAATTGATACCAATGGCTTCCCCGAGTGGCCCAGTGTACTCCAGGGAAGTCGGATGTAGGCTGGAAACCAAGCAGCTGCAGGAACTCAGGGACTCAACAGGATAGGCCAAGTGCTAGTTAAGTTCTATGGGCTGGGGCCCAAGCTGGAGCCCCCTCAGCCTGGCCTACCACCAGGTACCTCCTAGCACAGTGCTAAATTGAACCAGGGGCTGGCAGCATGGACACTTGGTTTAGGTTTGGTTTTATAAGATGGCCGTGAGTCCTGGGAACAGGCCATCAAACATTAAAACATTTAGGCTTTTTGACCTTGGGCCTGGCTGTGCATTTGTGGGGTTTGAGGGGTGACAAAGATGCCATCACAAGTGCTGATGCTTTTGCCCCCTAGTCTAGGGGGCACTTTCCTCCCGAGAGACCGCCTCTGCTGAGCCACCGAGGGTCTGGCGGTTTATGGACTGGCCCACGGGCCAGGAGAAGTGCTGGACCAGCCCACGGGCCAGGAGAAGTGCTGGCCGCCACACCTCCGCTCCTGCTCCTTGGGCACCAAGGTGTGCCTGTGGCTAGAACAGAGCTGACACCACCTTCCCCTCAAGCACACCCTCTGCCTCTGCTGGGCTCCTGCCCCCGGTGCAGTTTGCACGAGTGGCTTCCTGGCTGGGTTTCCCACTGCACAGGCCCTGGCCGGGTACCCTGGAACACTACCCTCCCAATAGCTGGAGCCCGGCCCGGAGAGGGCAGGGTTTGTAGTGGCAGCGCTGGAGCTCGGCGGTCACTGAGAGCCCTGCGGCACTGACAACCGCCAGGGCCTGACCCACCCTGGCACTGGTGTTGGGGTCCCTGAAAAGTGCTGCCCAGAAGGCAGTAGGTAAGATCAGTGTGAAGCAAACGGCACGCTGGAGGCTGAGAGGTACATTTGGAAAATGGAAATGCCCAGGTGTGCCCGAGTGCAGGAAATCCCCTTCCATAGCTCCCGGACTTGGCCTGCAGCAAGCCTCTCTCAGACTGCAGACAGCAGGGCAGGGGGCAGGAGGCGTGGGTGCTGCTGGGTGAGTGTTGAACCCCCAGGCCTCCTGCAGCCCCTCTTCCCCCTCACTGGCAGGGCCTTGCTGGGTAGGGCTGTTTCTGTTTTTCCTTTTTCCCTCTCCCTTGCATACCTGTGCCCTGGCTGCCTGCCAGGCAGATCGCTTGCTTGTGGCTGTAGAGCAGGGCCTGAGGCATGCAGCTGGTCCATCTGCTGGCCTAGGGCACCCTAGGTACTAGAGTTGAGCGTGGTGGGAAGTAACTGGTCTCCACAGGACACCCACACTGGAGCCTCTTGAGTCTTGGCTCCTCCCTGTCACGGGAGAACCAGGGCAACCTGCCCAGGCTTCATGCCACCCGGAGCTGCTCACCTGCTGCTTCTGAAACACCAGGACCCCAGCTTCCAGAGAACAGGTCCGAGCCCTGCCCACCTGGGCTTCTCCAAGCCTGCATGAGGCAACTGCAAGGGTCCGCTACTGAAGGACTGGTCCCAGCCAGGTCTGCCTGGTGCTTCAACTCAGTCGACATCCAGGACTCCGATCTCTGGTGCCCCAGGCCCCTTCCAGTGGTTGCCAGTTTGGTGCTTTCCTCTGGACCTGTGACTTGTTCTACCAGGAGTCAGCTTAGATACCTCTCCTGGTCTCGTGGGTGCGTCTGGCTGCAAGTCTCTGGCTCCCTTTCTCCAGTGTTCCTGAGGTGGCCACATGCTATGTACCAGACTCACTTTCTTGCAGCTCCACTGGTAGCCCTGCTCCTTATGGCCCCAGGCCCACTTCCCTGGCGTTGCCTGTAAACCCCTGCCCTCCCCCAGGTGGTCCTTCTGGACCCTGGTGCCATCTTAGGGGGCACAGCCAAGGCCTTCGCCCTCACCTACTGGGGGCACTGTGCCTTCACTGTGCCTCAGTGTTGGGGACCCACACTAGTGCTTTGGAGCAGTGCAGACCCATGATCTCCTTTCTGATGGGAACACCCAGGCCCCCAGGCAGAGGTGTGGTGAGCCCTAGGTAGTTCCTTCCAACAGGCTCCCTGGACCCAGGCCCTGGCGGGTGGAACTGAGTTGGGCTGTGGAGGGTCTCCAAGGTCAGCTGCACAGAAGGGCTGTCTGAGGGGCCTGTGCTCACACCTCCTGCCATGGTCCTGTCAGGTATGTCACCTCGGGGACCAGCTCTCCCACCCCACCACTGAGATCCCCAGCATGACTCACCCAGGGGCCCCCGATGACCACCCCAGGAGTCCACAGCCAGCTGGGAAGAACACAGGTTTCTGCACCTCCAGCGCCTGACAGGAGTCGCAGTGGTGGGATAATAGATCAGCACAAAGAGGAGGGAAAGAGTCCAGGCATTCAGAGTGGCCGGCAAAGGAGCCTTGATTGGGGTGCTCCCGGGCGAGGTTCACTGGTTCCAGTGTTAAGGGCCAGAGAAGTCGCACCCTGACCAGAGTCTGGGGGTGAGGGTGGGGGGTGGTTAAGGGCTTCCTGGGATTCCGTCAAGTATGCAGGAGATAGGGGCTGGGTGCAGCTGGACAGAAGATGGGAGACAGCTGTTGGTGGTTTTAGATTCTTACAGCCTGGCTCTGTGCTGCTGTCTCCAGTGTCAAAGTTAACACTAGGTCAGGTCTCAAGACCCCCTTCCCTGCCACCCTAGGTTCCCAGGAACTCATGTGCCTCTTGGGTGACCTTTCAGTGCCCTCCTGGTTGGGAGGGCTATGGCCTCTGGAGACACTTCAGGATCCCTCTTGTCCACCCTGGCAGCCGGGCTTCTGGCTCAGGGTTCTGAGAGGAGGAAACTGTCCCATCATAGCGGCAGGTCTGTGCAGTTAGGGTAGTTCTGCTCTCAAGCAGGGCATGATGCAGTGATGTCTGGGAGGCCTATCCCATCCCTCAGGGTCCTTGCCCTTGAGGGGAGTCTGGCACTTGCATACTTTGCGGATGTAGCAGCTGACCACTGTTCCAGGGCTGCACCCCCAGCCAGGGCAGGTCCCAGTCAGAGGCCTCAGGCCTGACCACAGGGCTCCCACTTCTCTCCCCTTCTGTCCCAAGCACCTCACCTGAGTGCCACTCCCAAAGAATCCAGGCTCAGCTTCCACAGGCTTAGCCCAGTCATGCTGTCATATGTGAGGGAGGGTGACTGAGGAGAATGGGAGCTCCCGGCGACAGGACAGGAAGATGCCTGGTTTGAGCTGGGCGGACGAGGGTCTGCGGCAAAGTGGCTTCCTCTCTGCTTTTCTTCTATCCTTTGCTTTCAAAGAAAGCAGCTTGTCCGCGTGTCCTGCCCTGCCCCAAGTACACGCAACACTGCTCAGTCTTGGATGTGGCCATCGACCTCCCTGTGAGACTGGTGGCTCTGCTGTGTCCTGTGATCCACGCGAGAAGCGATGACCCCTGCCTCGTCCACAAGAGCCACTACAGCAGTTCACCCAGGGCCCCGCCCTTGGCCTGGTGGTCCTGCCACCGGGAGGCTGAGTTCAGAGGCTCTGCCAGACTCTTCTCAGTTCTGGTGCACGCTGTCCTTGCCCAGCGTCCTGTAGTGCACTCAAATTCTGTCTAGTAAGTCTCCTTAGCCCCATGCAATTGGGTGGGGCTGCTAGGCCTGGACATGGGGCCCTGCCCAGCCTTGTCCCAAGCTGCCTCTCAAGCCCCTGCAGCAAGAGAGGGGCCTCCATTGCTGAGTCCTCTCCACACCCACTCCCCCACAACCAGCAGTGTTCTGGTAGGTGGAGGTAGATTTTGCCCACCAGGTCTGACCTCCTGCACCCTGTGGCAGCCAACATAGGAGCTTCTCCTGGCTTGCGGACCTGGCCTCGCTCAGGCTGGTTGTTAGTGGGAAGGGGCCTCAGACTTGTAGAACATATCCATCACCAAGCCTTTGCTATCTTAGGTTCCCTGGCAGACCCTGTAAGAATCTTTAACTTCTTAAAGGCCCAGTTCCAACTTTCCCTGTCCCCAAGGATTTTTTCCAGAAGGTTTGCCCTTATTTTAGAGCTTCTGGAGGGGTTTCATTAAGGATTGAACCTACAGGTTGGGGTTTAGGAGGTGGTATCTGAGTAGGACATGGATAGCTGTAACTCCCCCCCAGGACAAGGCCCTCATCTGCTAAGCCTCCTCTTCCAGGACAGCCCAGAGCCCTGCTTCTTTGAGGAATTATGGTGGCCCTTGCTGATCTAATTTAATTTCCAAGCAGTATTGACAGGTTCATGGGACAAAGGAGGGAAGACTGAGGCTTAGCATGGGGGTGGGGGGTGACCCAGGTTGGAGTCACCATGGCCACACAGAGCCTAATCATAGCCCAGGGTGCCGTGGGGACCCTGTTCAAGCTTCTTCCCAGCACATTTGTGTTTTCTGGCCAGGCTAGGTGATACTCACCAGGTACTTCAGGTGCTGGTGGCACTGACCAACCAGCCTGCAGTCTTGATCTCCCCACT